GCCTCTAATAACCCATTTGATTCCGGAAATGTCTTTTTACAGGCAATGAAGGCGTTAGCCCGACGGCCATATCACTTTTTTACTGAGAACCCATATAATATGAAGTTAATGTCGTTCGATAAGGTAAGAAAGGTGTGAGGGAATCAATGAATTATTCGCTTGTTATTTCATTAATTAATGAAGATCATGGAGAGTTTACGGAAGTGAAGAATGTGGGAAATAAAACTGAAGGAATGATTTATGGATTACGATAATTGGCTCTACATTTATGGTGGAAGGATCGTTTTCCGTCACAATTTATTGCCATTTTATATTTATATGTTTATATGATTAGCATTGTTTTAGGTGCCGTATGTTTTGGGTGGAAGAAGAGAGAACACCGACGACAGGTGAAAAAGATGTCACAAAAGGAATCAGTCAACAAGTAAGTGCGCATTACATCCTTCCTGTTCAATCCATTCATCATTAGCTAAAACTTCATTCGGTTCTGTCTGATAGGACAAATTAAATCATTTTCAGTGCATATCATTAAAATAGCTAATTAGTGCGTGTACTTCTTAAAATGATCCATTAGTGGTACCGTCGAAATGTTGTTACGGCTAAGAATGGATGGATGAAAAAACTGATGAATAATTGAGCAGCATTAGCAGGTGGTGTCAGGTGATAACATAGAATCTACCGCGGTTCATGGAAGACACAGAAGGCGGTGTTTTGTGGTGCTGCAATGGTTAGTACCTAAATGGTTGCAACATTTCCTCTATTACTGTCGTCATTCAGGTAAGTCATTCATTATTCTCTTTATTCGTTCCGGAAATATCTTAGGAAATCCATCCTATGAAATCATGCTTGACTGTTAATGTAGACACAAAATCTGAATGTCAAATTCAGATGTGAGCAGAGTTCATCACGAGGAATCAATAATCTCGGAGGTCACTTTGTCCACGAGAATTTCGAAATCTGCACATAATTTTCCCTTACATCTAATTTTATCACATGAAAATATCTCAAGTCATTGGCAATTGTAGTATTGTCGCGGAATTCACCAGAAGATCGGTCAGTAATGAAACGGAAAACACCAATGGTCGCAAACGGAAATCTAATTTCTCTGCAGAAGAAAAAAAACAAAGTAGTACCATTCGACTTCAAGTAAATGTTTTATATTTATTCTCACCATAATTTACAAAAAGATCAGTTTCGTTGAAGTTGCCGATTACTAAAATCATTTCATTTTCGGTATTCACTCTCATTCCGGGAATATTCCTTATACCTTCAGGATTTGCGACCGTCATTTGGAGTTAGAGCCATTGTGTTGTTTGTCTTCCTGTCTTATTCGTGGTGGTTGTACGGCCGTTGCTATCTTCGAATACGCTTACGTTGTCTTTACACTTATTGCAATTATTATACGTTTGCACAATAGTGGACTTTCTCAGTATGTCAATTATCATTCCAAAGTCAAATATAACTTGAAATTGGTTATTGACACGTGCAATTACACGTCTACGGACGCGTCAGTGGTGTAATGGTCAGCATGGTTGCCTTCCAAGCAATCGACGGGGGTTCGATTCCCCCCTGACGCATCAAAGGAAGTCAATTGCCAACGCTTCCACAAGCCAAAGTTTTGCAGAAGAGATAAAGAGAGATGTGTTGCAGGCTGTGGCCACCACTCGGAATGTCCTACAACTCAATTGTAACACATACCATACCGCTATATATCATATTGGCCTACGATCTTGTGAGTATTTCGAGTTAGGGCTTCCAAAAGTCAGTGCAGAATGAATGAATTTCATAGCAAAGAGCATCTAAAGTAGATTAATTAAAAGAAATAATTCCAAGTGTGATACAAACTCGACCTTAAAAGTATGGTATGATCATATGATTATTTGAATGGGTACTTGTGCAATACACTGACCACTTACATACCTACTTGACCTCAGGGAGTTTCAATCGATATTGATAACTTGTATAAATAAATGATCACTCTCAGGTAATCGTGACGATCGCCACTGGTCTTCTCCGTGCGCTCTTAACTTTCAATAAACAAATCATCCGAACGCATTTGTATTTCGACTACTTTGCATTAGCATTCAATGTGATCACATTAGTACTATTCCTCCCACCCTTATTTTTACCAAATTTCCAAATTCGTAATTTCGCTAATATATTACTGATTCTGTGCTTTGTCACTCAAATACCATTACAAATTTGGGCAATAACAGTGCTACGTTCATGTCTAGAATTCTTCGTTTTGGTGCATGTATTGGTTGAGTTAGCGGAGAGATAATTAATTGAGAAATGTCTGGAAAGGATGATATTCTCTCAGAATAGAAAGTTACGATACTAATGCTTTTTACTCTCTATTATATTCAATATCCATTTCGTTTCTTTTGAAATTTATTCCAACTTTCAAAAAATTAAAATTGCTATTCATTTACATGTTTCACTCACGCAAACACAACATGCATCTAAATTGCAGAACAACAATCAATTATTGATATTTTGGAAATTTTTCCAGCAAATAAAGTTATCATTCTGAGTATCAGCATACTACTGTATTCGAGGCACCGTTGCCTCTCTCTCTCTCTCTCTCTCTCTAATTCTTGGTTTAAATCTCAAGTATGTTAATCGCAGTTTGCACATCTCGGATCACA